GTCAACCAGCTTGAAATTATTTTAATACTTGTTACGGGGTCATAATGAAGAGAGGTTGTTTTATTGTTATACTGCATGGTGAGAGTCGACAAGCTTGCTTGTCATAAACAAGAAGTTTTAATTCTACACCTGCTATCCAGCAAGAGGTGTTTATCCATCTCATTTTGCACAATCAAATTTTATTTCATGAATCGCATGTTACAAGTGGTGAATTATTATCATTATTATTAAATAAATCATTTTTTTTGTGCCATATTCAAAGGCAAATGAGCACGCATTGACAAGTCTCACAAGAAAAGTTCTTGTGTGCTCAAAACACGCTTTTGTGCTCAAAATGTCCTCTTCCATACTTGAAATTCACAAAGTAATCCAAAACAATTTGAAATGTGGACTCGTCAGACCGCAGAACACTTTTCCAATTTGCATCAGTCCACCTTAGATGAGCTTGGGTGCAGAGAAGCCGGCTGTGTTTCTGGGTGTTGTTGATAAATGGCTTTTGCTTTGCATAGTAAGGTTTTAAGTCAGATGTAGCGCCAAACTATATTTACTGAAATTTATTCATTCATTTTCCGATCCGCTTAACCTCACAAGGGTCACGGGGGGTGCCTATCCCAGTTGTCTTCGGGTAGTAGGCAGGAGACACGCTTAACGGCTTGCCAGCCAATCGCAGGGCAATTTACTGAAATTGGTTGTCTGAAATGTTCCTGAGCCCATGTGGTGATATCCTTTATTTAAGGATGTCGGGTTTTGATGCAGTGCCGCCTGGGGGATCGAAGGTCACAGGCATTCAGTGTTGGCTTTCGGCCTTGTCGCTTACATGCAGTGATTTCTCCAAAGTCTCTGAACCTTTTGATGAGATCATGGACTGTAGAGGATAAAATCCCTAAATTCCTTGCAATCATAATTGCAAAAATTAGGATTGAACTGTTGGACTATTTTCTTACAAAGTTGCTCACAAAGAGGTGAACCTCACCCCATCTTTGCTTGTGCATGATTGAGCACTTCAGGGAAGCTCCTTTCCTACCCAATCATGGCACCCAATCATTGTTCGCAGATAGCCTGTTCAACCATGGGATGTTCCAAACAGATGTGATGAGAATTCCTCAACTTTCTCAGTCTTTTTTTTTTTTTTTTAAATACCTGTCCCAGCTTTATTGGAACATGTTGCAGGCATATAATTCAAGTTATTGATTATTTGCACGTCACGGTGGGTGACTGGTTTAGCCCATCCGCCTCACAGTGCAGAGGAGCAGCATTTGATTCCGGCTCCGGCCTTCCTGTTTGCCTGTCCTCCCTGTTTAGCCAAATATGCCAAAGTATGGCAAGAGAAAGGATTTGCTAATGATCCAAAACAAAAGTTCATCTGTGTAGCATGATGGAGGTCATGTCATGGCATGGACTTTCATGACTGCTTCTGGAACAGCTTCACCTGTCTTTATTGATGATATTGAATAGGTTTATATGCAATCAATATTCGGGCTAAGGTCAAAATTCCCATTTGTGAAACATTTGTCATAAACCGTTGACATGAATGTGACGCATTTGAGTCACCTGATTTAAAACGGCGATGCCCGAACCCAAATAGATGTTTGTTACTTTCTGTCAAGAAACCACATCATATTCAGGTCACTCACCACGGGACTAAGGCAGTCTGTTTCCGGCTCGCTCCAAAAGCGTGCTTTTGAGTACTGTCTCCAAAGCTCTTATTTGGGTTTTTGCCCACGTTTGCACAGCCTTTAAAAACACATAACTGCCAATATTCCGGTTTTAAAAGGCTTATTGACCAGGAAGGTAGAAATACTGTGTGCCCAGGAGACCAGGTGGAGGACATGTATGATGACTGTAAGACAGTGGTGAGGTGTGCTGCCAGTGTGACGGAGGAATTCAGCTCTGAGCCCCTTCTTGTTCGCGATGGTGATGGACAGGCTGACAGACGAGGTTAGACAGGAATCTCCGCGGACTATGATGTTTGCAGATGACATTGTGATCTGAGCAGGGAACAGGTGGAGGAGAAACTATAGAGGTGGAGGTTTGCCCTGGAAAGGAGAGGAATGAAGGTCAGTCGCAACAAGACGGAGTACATGTGTGTGAATGAGAGGGGCCCAAATACAAGAGTGAGGTTACAAGGAGAAGAGATAAAGAAGGTGGAGGATTTGAAGTATTTGGGGTCAACTGTCCAGAGCAATGGGGAGTGTGGAAAAGAGGTGAAGAAGCGTGTACAGGCAGGCTGGAATGGCTGGAGAAAAGTGTCAGGTGTCATGTGCGATAGAAGAGTTTCAGCCAACATGAAAGGAAGGGTGTATAAAACTGTGGTGAGACCAGCCATGCTGTTTGGACTGGAGACAGTGCCACTGAAGAAAAGACAGGAGGCAGAGCTGGAGGTAGCAGAGATGATGATGTTGAGGTTCTCTTTGGGAGTGACCAGGTTGGATAGGATCAGGAATGAGTACATCAAAGGGACAACTCATCTTAGAGGTTTCGGAGAGAAAGTCAGAGAGGCCAGACTGAGATGGTTTGGACATGTCCAGAGGAGAGAGGGTGAATATATTGGTAGAAGGATGCTGAGTCTTGAACTGCCAGGCAGGAAGCCGAGAGGAAGACCAAAGAGGAGGTTTATGGATGTAGTGAAAGAGGACATGAAGGTAGCTGGGGTGAGAGAAGAGGATGCACAAAACAGGGTTAGATGGAGGCAACTGATTCGCTGTGGCGACCCCTGAAGGGAAAAGCCGAAAGGAAAAGAAGAAGAAAAGGCTTGTTGACCACATGTAAACGTAGTCACTGATGAGGATCGTGACACAATAATTCATTAGAGTGAATTTTAAAGTCTCCAAAACCATTTTGTCTGGCACATGCATCCAAACAAAAAAGCTTCATCATGCAACGACCGCAAAACACACAGTCAACACAACAAAGGTAATCATCAGGGGCAAAAAAAATGACTGGACTGGCCAAGTCAGTCATCGGAACTTAATCCAAAAGAGCAAGCATGTTACTTTCTCTGGACTAACTGATAGAAGCTGCAGTAAAGGCCCGGAAAAGAATTTCAGTCTGGTGAAGTCAATGGGTCGCATGCTTGATGCAGTTATTTCAAATAAGAATCATGCCACCAAATATTAGATGCTATTCATTTGAAGTTAATTTAATAACGCCTGTTCCAAAACATTTGTTCACTTCAAAAGCGGGCGGCTTCAAACAAAGTCCAGAGAACACATTTACATGTAAATACAATGAAATAAAAACTGGATTTATGAACTTTTGAACTGAAACCCAAATGTTTTCACTGTACAACAAAAACAAAAGAATAAACCTTACGCCCTTGGAACAAGCCCCAACAAGCTTGATGTATATAAAGACAAAAAAAAAAGCTTCCAAAATTTCAGGTAGGATATTTGCACCTTGTCACATAGTGAGCCACTTGTTATTACAGTTGTTGAGTATTGAATGCATCAATAACGATTTGCCGCTACACGCTTTTATTGAGAGGGAAGTCAAACAATAAGCTCATTGGAACCGGCACAAGTTCATTACCAGTGAACTTTGATCTCAACCCCAACACATTCTCTCTTTCTCTCTGTCTTTCTCTTGCTCTCTCTCTTTTTATGAGACACACACATGCGTCACCGGGGAAGTGCAAACCAATAGTAAAAATAGAGAATTACTTTTGAACTTCCTCGGCCACCAATACATGACATAATATGACCTGAACACGAAGAAAAGTTTTCTGCATCATCAGTAATATAATAAATAAATAAATAAATAAATAAATCAATAATGGCCAAGGTTTCACAAATTCTGCTAGGGTATGTTGACTTATGGGCACTGGAAGTTAATTAATGTCTCCCAACCTTCATTTCACCGAGCCAACCATTTCACAAAAGAAAAACACTACAAAACAAAAAATGGCAATAAGTATGAAGGCTGAAATATATATTTCTTTTTTTAATGGACTTACTCTGACCCTGTTTAATTGAACCCAAAGCAGGAAGCCATGACTTATTCTGTTGTATGAACGGCAACAGGTTAATTCTAACTTCTGCCATCTATCCATCCATCCATCCATTTTCTAATCTGCTTATCCTAACGAGGGTCGCGGGGCGTGCCAGAGTCCATCCCAGCCGTCTTCGGGCAGTTGGCAGGGTACACCCTGAACTGGTTGCTAGCCAATCGCAGGGCACACACAAACAACCATTCGTGCTCACAATCACACCTAGGGATAATTTTTTGGAGTGTTCAATCAGCCTGCCATGCATGTTTTTGGGATGTGGGAGGAAACCGGAGTACCCGGAGAAAACCCACGCAGGCATAGGGAGAACAAACTCCACACAGGAAGGTCGGAGCCGGAGTCGAACCCTGCACCTCTGCCCCGTGGGGCCGACGTGCTAACCAGTCGACCACCGGGCCACTATATCTGTAATAAGGAATCATATTTTTCAAACTAATTGATTAACATTGTATGACTTTTTATCACATGGCACGTAGCCGGTTGAGAAACACTGAGTTAATAAAAGAGGGAACCTATTTTGGGTGGAAATCATTATATATATTTATTTGTGCTTGTGCCAAGTTATAAAATGGTCTCGTATAAGTGAGTTTACTTAACTTACTTAGCTTTTGCATCTACAGTACAATAGTTTGGTCCCATGGAATGGTGGGTTTTAATGACAAACTTGGCCTCCATATGATGTCGTCTACTGCAACTCAACGGACCAAGTGAGGAACACACCCGCGTCATTTCAAATCAACTTGAAATGACGCTCACTTTTATCAATTTGGGACTTTGTACTCCTGTCTGTTATGGAATATGTTTGTGTCATTTATTTTTCCTCTGAATTCGTTTAATCTCTTTTTAATTTGCTTTCTGAAATCTAGATTTGTTTTCATACTTGTCACAATTTACAGTAAGCCTACGCTATCTTTGAACCTGTGATTTCAAGTTTTCACGTAAGAACAAAGTTTAACCAAGGAGTGGACTTTCCACCCCCGCAGAAATGATGATGCAGATGCAGCAAGGAAAGGTGGAGCAAAGAAAGGTGTGGCTTCACAATCAGGTTCACAACAACCTGCACTTTTTCCTCCACGAGAGTGAATCCCGCAGACAGATGGAATGCTTTTATGCCACAATGTAGTTTAACATTTGCAGCTTCGCCGTGCATTTTACTCCATCTCGTTTTTATCTTTTCATTTTTTTTTTGGCACAGCAAAGTTTTTCTCTCCCTTTGGAATGGATGAAGACACACCACTGTGAGGACAGCAGAACAATGCTAGAGAGTGAGTTTGACAGGTATGGAAAAAGGTGTGTGTACATGCTATTAAGTGTTATTAGCGTTGTTCACGCTATTATTGTTATTGTACATCGTTCTTTTGTGTCTTTATAAACCTTGAAAAATGAATAGAAAAGGACAGGGTGTGAAAGAGAACAAGTTTGATATTATATGTAATATCAAAACAATAATCAAGACAAAAATAATGAGGTTGTAATCTAAAAAACACTAACCTTGAATGGCAGGCTGTACTTGTGACGTATTTTACGTTAGTTACTATCTCATATCCAACACGGAACAAAGTCTCGCATTTATGGCAAGGTTGTCACACTCATTTTTATCACATGCCCTTGTGACTGTAAAAATCATTTCAGTGTAAAAATAGCCTTATCACATTGACTTATTGATGTAAATGGTCTCAGATGGCAGGGGTATTGGGGACGAGGAGGATATATCCCCCCCACCTTCATGTTGATTGAATTGATGCCCCCCCCCCCCACACACACACACACTTTTGCAACATAAGAATTCATGTTTCTCAACAAGATATGCAGCCGCAGACTTGCTTGAACAAGCTTGAACATGTGACAGCAAGTTTTGAGCCCAAAAGTAGTTCTGGTGAAGAAGTTCTTTGCTTCAATTTGAAAATCTCTCTTTCTGCCAATCTGTCCTCTGTTGCGTGCTGGTTTTAATTTTGGAATCGGTTTGTTCCTTTTGTTGGGGAATAGCTTCTGTAAAGTCCTTATTTATATATCTGTTTGATCCCTTAAGATACTGTACTTGGATTTCTGTAGAATCCTTGTTTTATAGCTGTGTGGTAAATATGATGTGTGGTATTCGATAGTTGTCCCTCATCTTTTCTGAAAGTTAAAATGGGTGTCCGACAGGGGTCAGTTTTGGGCCCCATTTTATTTTTCATCAATGTCAATAATTTATGTAGGGACTTAGGGCAAACAAAGGTTCATCCATCCATCTATTTATCCATTTTCAACACCGCTTATCCTGAGCAGGGTCGCAGGGCATGCTGGAGCTTATCCCAGCCAATCTTGGGTGAAAGCTCAGCTGGACTTCACCCTGAACTGGTCGCCAGTCAGTCACAGGGCACATACAGAGACAGACAACCATTCACATCAACATCCACAGCATCACTGAGTGAGAACCGATCCTGCGCTGCCCGCACACATGTCCGCCGAGTGTACCACTACACCATCAGCAACTCACAAAGGTTCATCTTTATGCAGTTCATCCCATTCTTTACACCTCCACTACATCAGTGAGTGAAACATATTCACAGTCTACGTTTGGTGAAGAGCAAAAATCTTTGATCAGGTTAAAGATGGTATTAAAACGTTATGATCTGAAATTTTCCTTTCCTTGACTGCCAGGAAACTGTTTAATCAATAAAAAAAACGATTGATAGATTTATCCATCCATTTTCTAATCCATTTATCCTCACTAATGTTACAGGATTGCTCGAGCCTACCCCAGCTGTCTTCGGGCAGTATGTGCTGTATGTGAAACATACAGCACATTTGACAATAAAGTTATACTTGGTACTTGATAGTCAGCTTTATTTTTTTACAGTTGTTACACAATACTGAACTATGTATACAATGCAGAGGCGATTGCTCTAAGACTGCAAGGGAAGCTCAGCTTCTCCTAAAATGTCAAAAAGTAAGTGATCAAATATATGTGTGTACGTACAATTGTGTGGACATGTCATTGACTAAATATGCGCTACAATGCGCTCAACTTTTGTTCTGAATCAGCTTCGGGTAACAACGCGACTCTCTTCTCATTCATTTCCACAGCTTCACTGCGCTTTAAACTGTGTTTATATATATATATATATATATATATATTATATTATATATAAAATGGATGTGTTCTGCCACTCAGCTTTACTCTTCATTATATACAAACGCACCAACTCGAACCTCTCACTGCCCTCTGGATGACACAGAAATGATCCTCCTCTTATCTCATACACTGATTTTAATTGCTAAAGCACTTAGGGTAAACTCGTCAGGGAAAAAAATGCTATTAACAACACATTAACATGAACAAGAACAGAATTTGGTAAAGCAACTTTTTTATCATTTGCACCAAATGTTTGCACTGAACTTCAAGCCACCTTAAATCTAGAATCACTCCCACCACTCAATACTTTTCAAAGTATTTTAAAATCCACCCTGAGGAAACAATGCAACTGTTTTTAACCTGATCATTTATGTTTTGGTGACAGGTATTTGTGATAATATTTGTAATATTTGTGATAAGGGAAGAAAAGTTGCAATTTTCAAATCCATGTTGCAAGAAACGGAAATTAAAACTATTTGCTTGAGTGGGCCACTAAAAATGTGTGTGGTTGGGGATCAGTTCATTGAATGTGACACTTTGGCTTTGTTGTAGTATGTGTAATTGAGTTTCAACTTGTCTCTCTCATCTCTCAGACAGGGAATGTTGGAAGACTGGCGACACAGGAGATGGTGCAGTGCTCCACGGCCTCGCTGCCTCCTCTTCGTAGTGGCACTGGCAGTAGTTTTGTTTTATTACAGCGTAAACATCGAGAACAGTGCAAGTGAGTGGAGACCCGAATGGTGGATGCAACATAATGCAACAAAATGGTGGAGTGTGCTGAAAAGAATTGGCAAATTTTCTCTCACGGGAGCTGATTGGCACATTTCTCCAGAGTCAGAGGCCGTGAAAACCGGACAAGCACTTGAAGGAAGTGACGCCGAAAGTCAGCTGCTCCCTGTACGCCGAAGCCCATACATTGTGGCTTACCCGTCTGAGTATCACTTTATTATAAATGAGCCAAACAAATGTGACGAGCAGAAACCTTTTGTGGTCCTGATGGTTCCTGTGGCGCCCCACAACAGACTCCATCGAGACATTATTCGCAGCACCTGGGGTGGGGAAAGTGTGGTGTTGGACAAGGTGGTCAACGTCTTCTTCCTGATGGGGCTGCATAGCGGCGAACCTGTGGAACAGCTTGAAGAACAGCTGCAGCAAGAGAGCAAGGAGCATCAAGACTTGATCCAAAGTAATTTTCTGGACAGCTACAACAACCTGACCATCAAAACCATGGTGATGCTCGAGTGGCTCACCTCCTACTGCTCCGGTGCCTCTTATGCCATGAAGATTGATTCCGACATATACCTTAATGTGCCAAATCTCATTTCCATGTTGTTAAATGCACCCACAACAAACTACATGACTGGACATGTGGCCAGAGGAGCAGAAGTACGGAGAAATCCCACCGCCAAGTGGTATGTCCCGGTGGATATTTACCCGAAAGCACAGTACCCACGTTATGCTCTGGGCCTGGGTTATATTCTGTCTTTGGACCTGCCTATAAAGCTTGTGGCAGCTTCCAGATTTGTCAAAGCCATCTACCTTGAAGACGTGTACTTGGGGATGTGCATGGAATACCTGGGCATTCCTCCCACAGACCCTCCACATAGGAATTACTTCCATTACAGTCCGGTGCCGTACAATCGCTGTGTTTATTCCAAACTTGTTGCCACCACCTTGGATGAACATACCAATCTCATGTGGATTTGGAAAGATTTCCATCAAGCAGGGAAGGCCTGCTGATCTGTCAAAGTACTACTTGCCCTAATGGTGGGCTATCCCCGTATATGCTTTGTTGTTGTTGTTTTTAACTTTGTTATTTCGCAACACGTTTACAGTGAGCACATGAAAAGGGAATCGGTATTTAATATCCATTGCTATTTGCGAACAACAGATGGGGTAGCACCTCCATTATCTTTCCAACCAATCTTTCCGTGCAACGGTGATTTGAGAAAAGCCCAAACGAAATATGTTTTTGCCACAAGTAACGAAACAAAATACATTAAATGAAGCATGAAAAAATAATTTATGTTTCGTAAATTTGACAAAGTAATCGTTTTACCGAAGTGAGATATTGATGAGCGACAAACCCGAAGTGCGACGTCACTGCAAGATGACAATAGCAGGGCGCACTATGGAATGGTTGGGACAAATCGTGTGTGTGTGTGTGTGTGTGTGTGTGTGTGTGTGTGTGTGTGTGTGTGTGTGTGTGTGTATACGGTGTTGTACTTTGTACTTATTAATATTTTAATTTTAAATGCATGGATTTATTTCATGCATGTTTTTTTTATGGATCATGAAGTCATAATGTAAAGCAAGGGGTTGGGGGGGATGAACTTGATAAGCTGCACCTTCGCAAACATTTTATAATACTGTACTATGTCTTTTCAAAATGATAAATATGTCACATTTGGATCAGTTTGGTCTCCTCTGTAGTGTAGTAAATAGTGATTGACGTTTCTGTCTTTATCTACTGGTTGACCTGAAATAAAAATGTGCTGGCTGCTTTATGTGGTGTTGAAAGTTTGATATTTTTCATCAGAACATTGTGTGTAGAAATGTACAAAAGATGCACTAATCTCTACAATAAAAGTACATTGCCTCGGTGTGATCACATGTAAGTGCAGCACTCAAACCGTGGAGGATGCCGTATTAATGTCTTAACCTACATTTGAATGACCTGTGTGTCCATGACTCCAAGCATTTCAGCTTGCTCTTGTGATTAAAAAGATGTGTTTTAACTCGTCTTCAACTTGATGAACCTGTATGTAAGTCAGGCGACCGACATGCTGTCCCGACTCTCAGCCTTGAGCAGCCACTGAATAGCACGGAAGTACCTCTATGTAGACATTACACATGGTAGTGTATACACACCGTATTGATCATCCTTCCTGCAAAAAGCCAAAGCCAAGATGACAATCTCAGAATTGTATGAATGAATATGTTGGACATTTTATTCTTTCAGCATATGAGCAGTTTGTAATCTGACGTAACCAACATGTTGCAACACGACTTGACATGTTTTGTTCCATCACATGCACAGCTATGAGGGTGGAATGTAGCAATGATCATTTGGCACATAAGGCGACCATTCTCTACTTTTTCATTAAGACAGCTCTTTATGTGCAGTGATCCTTCGCTATATCGCGCTCCATTTATCAGTATCAGTACTTGTGCGTGTTTTTTTTTCCAAAGTAATGTCTTCAGAAAAAAGATGATTGGCTTCCCTTGTCTCTCGTCCTGCTGTTGATTCTCTGGCGCAGTGTTTTTCAACCCGTGTGCCGCGGCACACCAGTGTGCCGCGAGACATTGTCAGGTGTGCCGTGGGAAAATATCCAATTTGTATGCCTGTGCGGTCTTTCGCCCAGAAAGTAATCATGTAGTACCCTCCTATACCGCCAGGGAGCAGCAACAGCTCGCCAATTGCCTTGTTTCGACGAGAGACAAGCGAATTTGTGACGCATGAATGCAGGACGACGGTGAAACAATATGAAAGATGAGAAAATACTTTTTCTTTGTGTTCATTTGATTCCAATTCAAGTTGTTATAATGTCATTCTTCAATGCTAAAAACGGTTATAGTATCAATATAACACATTAATTATTCAAATAAACGTTTTTTTTTTTTCACATTTTCAGCTCGTGGTGTTCCGCGAGATTTTTCCAATGAAAGAAGTGTGCCTTGGCTCAAAAAAGTTTGAAAAACACTGCTCTGGCGTACTGTCTCTTCTGTTGTTTGCTACGTGCGCGGCGGCAGGGTGATTGGGCTTGTCCAAAAGCAGCAGCAGTACGTCTCTTCGCCGCCTCCTCATCAATACCGATTGTCTTATCATAAACACATCGGCTGCGTGGGGAAAGCTGGCCAGGAGCTAGCTGGAGGCTGATGGCGGCTACATTGTCAGAGCGTAAAGTGGGAGCCGCCTTCTACGCCACCATCACAAGTCTCTTCACCTCTCTCATAAGGCAATGCTGATGAATGTTAATTACTGTACAGTATAAGGCTTTATTGTTAAAGATTTAAGTAAATGGGTGTATAAATACTGTTTACATATTTTCAGCATGCTGATACCTTCATACTCTTACACAAAATTTCCCAGGGGTGAGCAAAACCTCCTTCACAGTTTTGCACTTATCACGGCAGGGTCCCGGTCCGCGCAATAAGTGAGGTCTCACTGTATGTGTAACAGGGAGACCAACCTCCACTCAGGTCTCTGTGACTCCGCCCCCATTACGTAAGTGAAACTTGTTGCTGGGGAACCCACTCCTCTCAGATTAAACGTGGTGCTCACCTGTCTCTCTCTCTCTCTCTCTCTCTCTCTCTCTCTGTCACTGAAACCTGGCTCAGCGACCGCCACGCTGAACCCACCTGGCTTCCGCCTCCTCCGAGCCGATCGTGACACGTGGCGCTATCAGGGAAATCAAAAGGTTGTGCAATATGCTTCCATGTCCACTAAGAATGATGCACTGACGTCACGAAGCTAAACGTACACAGAAACCCCAACTTGGAGTCACTCTTTCAAAACTGTAAGCCACTCGACTCGCCACGTGAGTTGTCCTTCATACTCGCGGGTGTTACATCCCACCGCTATGCGAACACAGCGCGACAAACGTTGGCTGACCAAGTAAACAAACTTGAGCAAAAGCACCCAGAGTCCCACTTTATCATTTTGGGTGATTTTAATTCGTGCTGTCAAGCGATTAAAAAAAATGTATGATTAATTAATTAGGGTCTGTAATTAATTCGTCTAATTAATCTGTATTTTAATCTCATCTAAAAATGACTGAGAAACACCCTATTTTCATTTTAAATTCGTTACATTATTGAGGCAGATCAAAAGATAAAAGAAAAAATGGCGTTATAAAGTATTGTTTTTCAGCAGACTTGGACAGATGCAGTCCTAGCCATTTACTTTCTGCTGTATTTGAGACTCGTCAAAGTCCTACCTACAACCTTTAGTTTCAACCACAAGGGGGAATATCACTGTTTTGGTTTTTTTTGTAAATCTCCAAAGAATTACAAAATAAAAATAAAATAGAACACCAGGTCCTTAAAAGTGCTTAATAATTTGACACCTCTAATTTTAATAGAGCATAAAACTTAACCATGAACCTCCCATATATAAGCGGCACAGTGATTGTTTCACCCGAGAAGGCAACATACAAGAGCACAGGTGTCAAAATCAAGGCTCAGGAGCCAGATCTGGCCCGCCAGATAATTTTATTTTAAAAACATTTAGCAATGTTAGAAAACACAAGCAGTAAATCTTAATTTTCAATGTTTACATTTTATGTCAGTAACACAGAAGCATGGAATATATCTTACGATGGATTATTGCTCGATTTAATGAAAGGATGGAGGTTGCTATGTTATGACAATAAACATACATACACATCAGAAATCTAGGATTCTTTGCTAATGTTAGGCAAAAAAAAAAACAGAAAATGAAATTAAAATTAATGTTAACCTTTTGAGGCTTTTGAAAGTGCAAGAATACAGCGAGAGTATCATCAGTGAAACTTTCTTTCAAAGTACATCCCCATTTACATTTCACCTCAAATACAAATATCATGGCAATCGTCCCAATCAATTAGGAAAAATGTCATTCCCACATAGTGGACAAATTGACCAACAATATATGAACAATCCATTCATTAGTCAAGCGGCCTATCGTCACGAGAGTCACGGGCATACTAGGGCCCCTCCCAGTTGTTTTTGGGCAGCAGTCGGGGCACACCCTGAACTGGTTGCCAGCTAATTGCCTACAATATATTATTTCCAAGGCTTACTGAAATTTCTTAATAATACCTGTCTCACCTCACCAGTTTGTAGTGTCTTTAATTTGAAACAAGAGTAGCCAAACATAAATCTCATTGAAGGTTCCATTAATTTCATATTTGTGGCTTGATTGGTAGTCATTAATTTAGCTTGGAAAAGTGCACAAGATCTGAAAAATACACCTCTATGTTGATATATTTAGCTTTTATGGCAACATTTTCAACACACTGGTTTGCCCATGATGGGTCCAACGAGACCGAGTGCAATTTATTGCTGGACAACAGACACAAATCAGACAACAAGGAGGACACAAAGAAAAACTATGCCACAATGCGTAGCAAAAATGTGCAATGGGTCAACCCAACAAGGTACACACTGGCATGTCATTCCACCGTTTTTACAAAAAATGTGCTTAATTAAGCACCACAATGGGAGGGCAAAAACACGTGTGCAGTGAACATTTCCGGGACAATCGGTGATTTACAGTTGGAGAGGAGACATCAGGCCTGAGGATTTCACGGTAACGATCGTTTCCGGTAGCATGTCGTTTCCGTGGGATCTTTGTACAGTCCCGAAAAATCATTTCCCATAAAAATTACTGCGCACTAGTTGACTGTATGCAATAGAATCGCTCCTGTGTGATCAATGCGATTTCACTGTGCCTGGTGTGGTGTGTGAGTGTTTTTCTTCTATTTTCCTTTCGATTTGTTTTTATTAAGTGGTGGGGGGCGGAACAGGAAACAGTATGTGCGCATGCGGGTAGCTATTTTAGTCTGCACGCTGAAAAAGCGCGTGGATGTTGGATAGAGATGGCAGAGAAAAAAAACACCGGAAGGTGTATTAGTTACTTCATTTCAGAAATGGGAATGCCAGTTGGATTTTTCTTTCGAATCATCCGGAGAAGAGCGTATTACCAAGCTGACGTGTGATGTATGCACAAAACACAAAAGAGAAATATGATGGGAGGCACGATTCCGAGGCAAGTACTTGAAGTTGGTCATGAGATCTAAAGGCTAATCGCTATGAAAAATATTATGAAACAGTCTTAGTTATTCTATAATTTACTAGTTGTAGACATGGTAACTTAATGAATAAAACATTCATCACAAGGTGTAGTAATACTAATGTTAACTGTCGGTAGGCCTAACGATGACGTGTGGTAGATTCTTTGTTCAAATTGATAGTAGATTACACAGTGCATCGTCTTGGGGTTGCAAAGAGGATGTGAAGCCATATCAATACTATAAGTCTATATACAGTAATCAGGTATTTTTTTTCAAGTTCATCACATGATTTTAATCATTCAATTCCTATTACATGCTTTGGTATTAATAAAGGGGGTGAGTAGCCATTGATATTATGTTTACTGACATAAATAGCACACACACGTTATCATGTTAACGGTGTCAGGTTTACTTGTGGCCCATGGTATATAGCCAGATTTTGGTATGCTGTATTCATGATGCCATATGAGTACAATAAAAGTGTTAAACAACATATTTTGATACATTTATTTTATTGAATAAACCTGGAGTACACAGCTGCTGATGTAATTATGTTCATTGTTCATGCATAGTTTTCAAACATATACCCTTTAAATATGATACTTTTGAGTATCAGAATTCTTGATTATGAATATCCGTCAAAATAGAAAAATGGGTTCCCGTGATGAACGTTTATGGACCCCAAAATTAGTTAGAGTGGTTTCCCATTGGGTAATCTAACGGAACCGAAAAACAGTTTCTGTTAATTTATGAAATCCTCAGGCCTGAGATATGTCACGCAGGTGACATTAAAAACAAACGTCGTGCAGAGTATGTTTAATGAGCAAGAGATAGGAGATGTGTTTAACTGCCCGAGGGAGGATTTGCTTTCTCTCAAACCTGAGGTGGGTAGGAGGACATATTAATTACAGCATTATCGACGCGTGTGTGTGGCGAGTGAACAACATGGTACTGTCTTCCGC